GGTGACGGTGGTGAGAGCGGGCAGTGAGGAGGTGACGGTGGTGAGAGTGGGTGGTGAGGAGGTGACGGTGGTGAGAGTGGGCAGTGAGGAGGTGACGGTGGTGAGAGTGGGTGGTGAGGAGGTGATGGTGGTGAGAACAGCCTTTCACAGGGTGGCGGTGGCTGCCTCCTGGATGTCCTGGTGATTGGTGTGGCGCCTGCATCACTGTGGAGATGGGATTTGGGACTCTTGAGATCTGGACTGTTCTTCTTTCTTACCTTTTGGCTCTGTTAAAACTTTTAATTCTGGTTTTTGTAACTAAGTTGGCGCCAATTCCTTTGTGCACTTTTTGCTGTACTTATGTATTCCTATGCTTAGTATATGTGACAAATAAATAAATCTTATACTCCTTGCTAACCTTAGTACAGGAGATTAAAAAGGATGTTAATTTCTACCAATTATGATAAAGTTTATAATATCAGTTCAATTATAAAGTTACTAATAAAGTTATACATTGTTACACCTAATACTATAACTCTGTGACAGAGCTGACAATTTTGGGATCAGCTACCCCATAACACAACTTTAAACAACCGCACATCTCTCTGTCTTGCAGCTACCATTTACAACTTCTATCTACATGCCTTAAGTTGGTTTAAAACAGAAGTTTGATTCTCGGATGGACCTTATTGTCATTGCTTTAAATTACTTTTCATACTAGTTCTCTTTACTAAATAAGTTAGCACCCATTCAAATTCCATTGATAGGAATGAAATTCAATCACTTACACAGCTTGATTAAGTCATTAAAAGAAGGTTATTTGGATTTTTGAAGTTCTGTGGGTCATGACCTCTTTCTCACCCTTGTCTTACATTTTTTCTCTGACATTCTTTTGTTCTTCAGGCTGTTTGTTAGGTTGTGAAGTTGAGTTTGTTTGTTTTCTCGAGGTCATAATGGCCCCTTTTTACAACTTTTCTGCCCCCCCCCTGCTATGTTATTTGTCTTTTGGTCCTCTTTTGAGGTTATCTTGTTTATACTTTTTTTGTTGTTCTAATCTCCTTGCTGATAAAGTGAAAGCTTCTCTCTACTGCCCACAGATATTTATTTAAAGAAAATTCAGCTTAATTCCTTAATGTCAGTTCGCTGGTTACATTTATGTTTTCTACATACCCCATATAAGTTTATTTAATATGTAGTGATAGATAAGAAATTTTGCTTATTGTAGGATTAGAATTTTTTTTCTAATCTGCACTAAGTAACAAACTTCGAACCACCTGCTAGCAAGGCCTTTTATCAAGCTATTATAACCAGTTGCTGCATCCAAGGCTGCCTGCCTATAGAAATCTAATTAAATTTCCTAATGTATAAACTACAATTAATGCGCAAATATGTGTCTAAGTAATAATCATTATTTAAAAGGCCTCATCTCAGGAGGGTCAAACTTTCCTTTTCTATTTCATATTAAAATAGGAAATTTCAAATCAGTTTCCATCTGAGCTAAGAACAGAGAAGTCTTACTGTCTGTATTCTAGCCCCATCTTACTAAGGCTCTATTGTGATTCTCAGAGGCATTTTATTATCTGTCTGTGAAGGCCACGATTTGAGCTATATGAAATGCTGCATCAGCTCCAATTCTCTTCAACTATTTTGTATCCGCTTAAAAAAAACACAAGCAGCCACGGGCAACTACTACCTCTGTTGGGTTTGTCCTGCTGGTGGGACAGGGATGGTGATGGTATGTCTGAGATATTGTAAAGTATGATTTTGAGAGTATGAATATGTCAGGCTGCTGCTTGATCAGTCAGTGAGAATGTTCTCCCAATTTTGGCACTAGCCCCCAGATGTTAGTAAAGAACAATTTGCAAGATCGACAGAGCTATTTCTGATGTTGCTTCTTCTGGTGCCTAGGTTAGTGCCTGGTGCTCCATCTGTTTTTATTTCTGTTTTGAGGATTCATAGTGATTGAAGCAACTGAGTGGCTTGAAAGGCCATTTCCAAGGGCAGTTGAGAGTCAGCCAAATCAGTGGCTCTGAAGTCACATGTAGACCAAACCAGGTGAAAGATGGCATATTTCTTTCCCTGAAGGACATTAGTACTGGCTAAAATATGGTACAAAGGACATTAACATTAAAACATCAACAGATGAACCTGCAATGGACAAAGATGTTTAGCAGTGTGCACAGAGGTTAGATTTGTAATACAAAGAAAATCTTGTATTTATGCAATGCTTTCTGGGATCCCAAGACATTATAAAATATTTTCTTGTCACAACTTTGTGTTTGGAAATGCACTCACTAGTGAAATGTAATGAATATTGCTGCCAACGTAGTATGTTGATATGTTATGAATTATGCAGATACAAATGTGTAAATTCAATTGTGTCTTTTCTTTAGAGATGCTGCGCAGAAAGATCAAGTGACACTGTATTCAAATCATGACGGAGAAGAGTCATGAGCTGGGTTGAAGGACGTCTCCAGTCCTGTCCGACTAACACCAGGTCAGAACTTGCAGTTTGGCTATCGGTAAGACAGAACCTGGCCTGTCTATTGAAGAATGGATCAGAATTTCAACCGTTCTGTGAAATTCCAGCATGTCTCCTGGCCCAACATTTCATTGCTGGCGGAGCAGTTCCAGTTCTGCTCCGACTCAGTGAGTAGTACTACCTTCCTCATCGTGGCCTACAGTGCAGTGATGGCTGTGGGCATAATTGGTAACATGTGCCTGGTTCTGGTCATTATGAGGCAGAAGGAAATGCGTAATGTCACCAATATCCTGATTGCCAACCTGTCATGCTCTGATATCCTCATTGCCACCCTTTGCCTCCCAGTGACAGTGATTTACACCATGATGGACCGTTGGATCCTTGGTGCTGCACTTTGCAAGTTGACCCCATTTGTTCAGTGCACATCGGTTACTGTGTCCATCGTCTCCTTGGTCCTGATTGCTTTGGAGAGACATCAGCTGATTATCAACCCGACGGGTTGGAAGCCAGCAGTGGGCCATGCATACTTGGCAGTCGCTCTCAGCTGGCTGGTGGGAAGTTTAATTTCTTTGCCTTTTGTCTCCTTCAACATCTTGACCAGTGAGCCCTACTCAAACATCTCCTTCCTCCCAGACTCTTTCAAGGATCATGCAGCTTGTATCGAAAGCTGGCCTTCAGAGCAGCAGAAGCTGGCCTACACCACCTGCCTCCTGGTCTTCCAATATGGCCTGCCCCTGCTCCTGATGCTGATCTGTTACTTCCGGATCTTCCTGCGCCTCCGAAGGCGCCGGGAGATGGTAGACCGTGCAAGGGATGGCAATCGACGGGTCAGCCACAGTCGGAAGATCAATGTCATGTTGGCATCTATTGTTGGCGCCTTTGGCCTTTGCTGGCTACCACTCACAGTTTTCAACACGGTTTTTGATTGGGACCATGAGGCCATCTCCATCTGTCACCACAACCTGATCTTCTCGCTTTGTCACCTGACAGCTATGCTGTCCACCTGCGTCAACCCAGTCATCTACGGCTTCCTCAATACCAACTTCCAGAAGGAAGTGAAGGCCATGCTGTATCGTTGTCGCTGTGGTGGGGCTTCAGACACCTATGAGAGCTTTCCTCTGTCCACAGTCAACACTGAGCTGTCCAAAGCTTCCTTATGCCATTAATTGTGTCTAACCTCAGCTGCATTATGCCTTTTGTGGATCATTCTTGTTGTTTTTGTCTGCAGCAATTTCATCACTTCCCTCATGCCAGATTTCACTGCTGAGAGTTGTTGGTCTGCGCCGAGATGGTCTGGATCCAGAAGTCATGGATTACTTGGCTCCGTTGCCAATGCTTTGAAAATCAGGACTCCTGAAATGCACCTAGCAGGGAAGGCAGTGACATGGCTATTAGTTACTGCCTTAAAGTGACCTGCCTTCAAGTGACATTGACGCCAAATTTGTGATACAATGGTTCGAGACACTAACTGGCATGGGGTGAGGTGACGATATGCATTGGGTTGTTTGTGCATCTTATCGGGGCTCTGATCAATCTGCTGGTTCCTCCTGAGCTGCCAATCTCACATGGCCTTGTAACAGGACCACACAACTGAGTGGGGTGGTGGGGGCACAGCCTGGGTACCCATTGAAGATGGGGGCAAAGGAAATATTACAGCTAGGCTGCATGCATTTCCCGTCAACCTCAAAGTGACGCCTATAGCATCTTTGTTGGCAGGTAGATGTTCAGGTCCAGAGGTGCTCAGTTGCAGGGTGTCAAAGTAGGATTTGCACAGCTGATAGTGATGCCTGAATAGAATCACACCAGGGGACCCTCTCGTGGTGCAGTGGTATCATGAATCATTGAATTCCCTACAGTGTGGAAGCAAGGCATTAGGCCCATCGTGTCATTTAGCATGGCCAAACCACCTAACCTGTACGTCTTTGGGAGGAAACCAGTAGTGTCATGGCAAGTCAGGAGACCCTGGTAGCAGGACACCATTATCTTCTGCCGTTATAACTGAGCTGCAAGAGGTACCCTGAAAATGAGATACAAGAAAAGGATATCATTTTTTCCTTTTTGAGTTATTCAAGCAGTTCAGAAGTCGTTTGTGGACAAAACAATGATGCTGGAGGTGGGAAGCAAAGGAAATGAAGGGAAATTGTCAATCTGAGTTCTGTCTTTTCAATATGTGTTAACAGAAAAATGCATGAGCTTGTTTAAAATGTGCATCAATATTATATTTGTGCGTTATTTTGCCAAATTTACAGGGGCCAAACTTATTCAATCAAGAGTCTTCAGCAGACGGCGGGCTGCTTAAGGGAGAAGGAGCAGGTCTGGTGAACTGGATCTGGAATACTCGATTCTACAGACTCGTGAATAAGGCACATAGAGCGATGTTCTGTGAATATTCTTTCCTCGATTTAAGAGTGCCCATTATACCAACTGCCCTGATTGAATTTCTGCAAAATGCAAAATAAAAGATAATGGGCTATGGGTGTGGCGGTTATCAGTTTGTAAAGGCAGTTTAATCTCCGGGGCAAACCTCACTAAAGTTCCAGATTAGTGTTCTGTAAATAAAACAAATTTCTTTCTCTTCCAAGTTCAGGCAAATTATCTTTTAATGTGACCCAGTCGAAGTATTGCTGGGATGAGATACTGCCATTGAATGCTCCAATAAAATTGATGAGGCTGAGTCTCATATTGTTTGTTATTCATTGTTTCAAGATTTGTCTCATTCATTGAAGGATTGTCCCGTTTCATTAGAGCACCAGTGTAAAGGAATGATGCATCATGTCTATTGTATCTTTTATTTTGCAGCATTATTTCTATGTGATTATGTAGAATATATTGTGTCAGTCACAATCTTTTGTTTTAAAACAGTTCCTCTATGTCATCCTGCCTTCTTTTTGTTGTTGGTTAGATATTTGCCACATAACACAGTTCTCACCACCATTCCAGGTTGCACACGTCCTTACTGTGCTGTTGATGATAAGTTATTTTTGAACTTGTTTGAACATTGATACTACTTGAACACACAGAATATTCGCATTCTCTTTGAACTTCTGAAAATGGTTTTCTTATGCTTGTTCAAATATTGCTTTTATTTTTATTAGGAATTTGATGTCTTCCTTGTGTGTTAATTCATTATGTTTAATGGACAGGTGACGATAATTGACAATATAAAGTGTTTAGGGTTAGGAGCACAGTTAGGATTGATGTGGCTCAGGCCCCAGTGGTGAGGGTTAGAGTTAGGGTTAGGGTTAGCGTCAGGGCTAGAAGGTGTGAACTGGGCAGAGACGGAGGGTGTGACAGGCAGAAACACAAGTGTTGGAAAGAGACACTGAGGAACAGATAATGAGGGTCAGGGGGTGAGACACAGATGCTGAGAGAGACAGAGACTGTGAGAAGGAGGAAGGGAGAAACAGAGAAGGACAGCCAGAAGAGGAGAACCTGATAGGGACAAAACAGAGACCAATAACCAGAGGGGAAGAACTAGAGACCGTGAACCAGAGGGACAGAAACAGATGGTCCAACGCGTCCATGCTAACCAGGTTCCGAAAGTAAACTAGTCCTATTTACCTGTGTTTTACCCATATCCCTCTAAACCTTTACTATCCATGTACCCATCCAAATGTCTTTTAAATGTTGTAATTGTACCCACCTCCTCCACCGCCTCTGGCAGCGTGTTCCATATACATACCATCATCTATGTGAAAAAGTTATCCCTCAGGTCTCTTTTAAATCTTTCCCTGCACAACTTAAGCCTATGCCCTCTAGTTTTGAACTCCCCTACCCTGGGGAAAAGAGCTTGGACATTCACCTATTCACCTGTTGTGATTTTATAAACCTCTGTAATGATCACAATCCCATTGTACACTTAGATTGACAACAATTTTGGTGTCATCTGCAAACTTACTAACCATACCTCCTATATTCTCATCCAAATCATTTACATAAATGACGAACTACAGTGGACGCTGCATCAAGCCTTGTGGCATACGGCTGGTCACAGTCTGAACAACATTCTCCACCAATACACTCTGTCTTCTACCATCAAGCCAATTTTGCATTCAAGTGGCTAGCTTTCACATGTGATCTAACCTTACTAACCAGTCTACCATGGGGAACCTTGTCAAAAGCCTTGCTAAAGTTCTTGTAGAAAATATCTACCACTCTGCCTTCATCTATTCTTCTTTGTCACTTTTCAAGATGGTGATGTTGGTGAGGTAGGCAGCGTTTGGGTTCCTGGGTCCATCTGCCCACTTCCTTCTTTCCTTACCCTTTTCATTTTCTTCTTCGTCTTCTTCCTGTTAATGCTGGCATTCAAAGGACCGTTTTCTGCCATTTCAGAAACTCCAGCAGAAAGCCACCACCAAACACATCTTCCCCTCACTCCTAATGTCTGCATTTTGCAGGGATCATCCCTTCTGGGACACCCTAGTCCATTCATCCACCACCTACACCGCACCCCCTCTTCCTATGGCACCTACAAATGAAAAACCACAGAGCCTGCAACACTTGCCCTCACATCTTCCCGGCTCACCATCCAAGGGCCTAAACAGTCTTTCCAGGTGAAGCAGCATTTCACCTGTACCCCTTCCAATCTTGTGTATTGTATTTGCTGCACCCAATGTGGCCAACTCTACACTGCAGAAACCAAACGCAAGCTGGGTGACCGCTTTGCAGAACACCCCTGGTCTGTGCACAAGCATGACCCCAACCTTCACGGAGCTGGCCATTTTAACACAGTGTCCTGCTTGCATGCCCACTTGTCTGACCTTGGCATGCAGCAGCGCTCCAGAGAATCACAGCGCAAACTAGAAGAACAACATCTCAGCTTCAGACAAGGTTTACAGACTTGTGGATTTAATATTGAGTTCACCACCTTCAAATTGTGAACCCACTGCCACTCCTTCCCTTTCTTTTACTTTTACTTGTTACATTCTTTGTCACCATGTCCTGTCTCCCCTCCTCCCCCGCCAGTGGGACTTTCTGTACTTTCCAGTTTGGGAGTTAGACACACCATTGTTCTGCCATACTCTCATTTCTAACAATTAATCTGAACGACTAATATCTTTTCTCCTCCAGCGCTGCGCCCTGCCCAGCCCAGCCCCAACTGTTGCATGAACGCTGCTGCCTCCACACTTCACGCCAACTCTGGTGGAGGGTCGTTTAGACTCGAAACGTTGGCTTGCCCCTCTCCCCACAGATGGTGCCTGACCCGCTGTGATCCGCAACATATTTTGTTTTCACTAACCCACAGGCCGTCGCGTTGTTGGGTCTGGGGTGGGGGCAGGGGGTGCCTGTAGGACCCGGCGGACACCGCGAGCGGGATTAATTTACCCAGGTACCTTTGCGCGTGCCGGGAGGAGATGGCGGTTACTCGAAGGCGCAAGTCAAGGTGAAAAAAGACAAACTTCGCCGTTTAACTTCAATAACTAGTAACTACTCGGTACTTGAATACTTCCCGATATTCATAACTTCCCTCCAGTTCCTGAGCCGGGGGGTGGGGCCCTGCCATGTTGGCGATAACTGACGGGTATCGAGTTTATTTGGTTTTTATCAAAAACAACAATAAAAATAAAAATAAAAAAAATCCAGAAATTGGTGAAAAAGCTGAGCAGGTCCTGCAGTATTTGGGGAGAGAAAAGGAGAGAGTTGACTGTTCCAGTTCCGCTGACTGTGTTCTGAGGAAGTCTCACCGCACCGGGTGTGGGAACAGGCCATTCGGCCCAACAAATCCATACTCGCCCCTTTTTCTTTCCACAGCCACCGCCTGCCCTGCTGTGCAACTTCTGTCTTTTTGTTTCTGATTCACAGCATCCGCAATTCTTCCGGGTTTTTTTTTAGAAAAGTCATTTTGCCTGGTTTTTGGGCTCAGAATGTGCACCGGGTTCTTTTGTTTTAGCGAGGCGTGACTGCCCCACTTATCCAGCGGTGATTTGTTTGTCAGAAAACGTTGAGTTGCTCTTTTAACACCTGCCCTGATGTGTTCTGGTGCCCCTCTGGGTTTTCAGTTGCCCGGGCTTGAATCTTGCAAGCACCTGTCTCCAGGTGGAACTGCGTGCGCCTGTATGACTTGGTTGACGTAGTCCGGCAGACCTTAATTTTTGGCCAATTTCTGGGCCTCGCTATGCTGACAAGGTGCCTCACGAAAGGCTGCTGCACAAGGTAAAGGTGCACAGTATTACAGTCAATGCATTGTAATGGATCGAGGATTGGTTAACTAACAGGAAGCAAAGAATGGGGATAAACGAGTGCTTTTCTGGTTGGCGAACAGTAACTACTGGTGTGCCTCAGGGATCAGTGCTGGGATTGCAATTTACATAGATGATTTGGTGTTGGGGACCATGTGTAGTACATCAAAGTTTGCAGATGACGTTAAGATGAGTAGTAGAACAAACTATGCAGGGGACTGAAAGTTTGCAGAGTTATGTGGATAGTTTAAGTGAGTGGGCGAAGGTCTGACAGATGGAATTCAATATTGATAAATGTGAAGCCATCCATTTTGACAGGAGTAACAGTAAAAGGGACTATTACTTGAACAGTAAAATATTGCAGCATGCTGTTGTGCAGAGGGACCTGGGTGCCCTTGTGCATGAATCACAGAAGATTGGTTTGCAGGTACAACAGGTAATTAAGAAGGCAAATGGAATTTGGTCTGTCATTGCTAGAGGGACTGAGTTTAAAAGAAGGGAGGTTATGTTGTAGCTGCATAGGGTTCTGGTGAGGCCACACCTGGACTACTGTGTGCAGTTTTGGTCTCCTTACTTGAGAAAGGATGTGCTGGCACTGGAGGGGGTGCAGAGGAAGTTCACTAGGTTGATGACAGAGATAAGAGGATTGGCTTATGAGGAGAGACTGGATAGACTGGGATTATATTCATTGGAATTTAGAAGCATGGGGGAGTGGGGAATCTTATCGTAACATGTAAAATTATAAAGGGAATAAATAAGATAGAAGCAGGAAGGTTGTTCCCACTGGTGGGTGAAACTAGAACAAGAGGGCATAGCCTCAACATTAAGGGGACCAGATTTAAGACTGAATTGAGGAGGAACTTCTTCACACAAATGGTTATGAATTCCCTGCCCAGTGAAGTAGTTGAGGCTTCCTCAATGGATGTTTTTAAAGCTAAGATATACAATTTTTTGGATAGTAAAGGAATTAAGAGTTATGATGAGAGGGTGTCAGTGGAGCTGAGGCCATGAGAAGATCAGCCATGATCTTACTGAATGATAGAGCATGCTCAAAGGGCCTGATGGCCTACTCCTGCTCCTGGTTCTTATGATCTTCTTATGATTTGACAGTACAGTAGCTCAGTGGTTAGCACTGCTGCCTCACAGCACCAGGGACTGGGTTCGATTCCAGCTCGGGCGACTGTCTGTGTCAAGTTTGCACA